AAAATGAGATGAGAGTTTATTTCTAGGACGATTCTCCCCTGACTTTGCAAACAGGACAGAGACCAGGTTCAGTTCCCCACTTTACATAATTCTGCCCCTAACCCCCCCCCCCTCCCCACATTCCTTGCTGAAAATAATTAACAAAGGCAGGGTGAAATTGACTACAGGCAGCTGGAGATCCATCCCCATGCAATTGACTGCCGGAAACCTAATGAGGAAATTGCAACGAAGTAATTGGGCAGTATTGTATGTGCCTAATCCCATCAGTGTTCATCTGCTGGCTGACAAGAGACAATGGCTATTTCCAGCACTGTTGCTGCCTCTAAAAAGTGCAGTTTTCCTTAACAATAAATGATTCTCCTTTCTTTTCTTAGATGGTCCCAAGATCCTGACAGCTCCAGAATTTCCCTACAATTTAAACAGCTCTGCCATTTAAAATTCTTATAAAAGCTCTTACCTTTCTATTGTTCTCCGTTCCTCTCTTTCTGAAACTGGAACCCAATGTTGTTCAGTGAAATAAACAGTTGGTTATTTGCCCTCAATGTTGTTCTCCATTGTTCTGAATTTTCCATGGCAGAGTGGAGGTGAAATGCAAATTTCAAAGGAGCCTGTTTCTTGACTTGGAAACAAAGCAAGACATGCGGACAAACGACCTGCTAAGTGCAGTTGCAATATTGTGAAGCCCCAGAAAGGAAAGAGAAGAACCTGGGGGTAAGGGGATGTGTTCCATTCCATGGAAAAGGACCGGACAGGGAATAATTCTTTATTCAAGGGAGATTTGATTTGATTTCCATGTTACCTGGAAGATGGATTGGTAACATGAGGTGAGATGCTCGTCACAAAGGCTGGGAAGAACCTGTTAGGTTAAAGCGTAGCAAATTTGATCAGGAGGGTTTTGAAGTGAATCTTACACTTCTGGGTTAGGGGTGGAAACACACAAGAACTTAAGAAAAGGAGTTTCTATCTAACCTAAACTAACAAAACTAAATAGGAGAGTAACTAGACTAGGCTATTACCACTCAGTGAAGGACTTATGCACTCCAGGAGAACTGGGAGTCATTAAATATTGATTCATGAAGTTCAATGCTCAGTGGATGGGAAATAAATGTGAACTTGAACTTGTAACAGTTAAAGCTAAAAGGTAAAATCTCCTTTGAGTCCAACTCAACTCCTTGTGACTTCATGGTTGTATTCTTTTTTTTATTATTATTATTTTTTGGCAGCAATGTCAAAGCAGTGCCTTCTTCCAACTGATTTTTTAAAATTTATTTATTTATTAAATTTCTCCCCCGCCCATCTCCCCCCAGTGGGGGACTCTGGGCAACTCACACAAAACATTAAAACCATAAATATATATAAATACATAAAACATCAAAATTTAAAAAGCATTACTAAAAAAAGGAAAAGGAGAGTCCAAGAAGATGAATAATTATATAATTAATATAGGAAGGCAAATATAATTTAATAGGTAGAATAAGATTTGATTGGATGATTGAAATATGGAAATTATTCAAAATGAACAGAATCAATAGAAAGAGAAGAGGGGTTGCATTGTATATTAAAAATGTGCACAGAAGTCTAATCTCTATAAAGAGCATCCTGGTTTAAATAAGAGAAAGAAAAAATAAAAGCAGTACTATTATAGCATCTACAATTAACTGCCCAACTGTGGCGCTCCTCTTTGCAACCTTAAAGTTACATCTATCAAATCAGGGCTATAAAAATCCAGAGGACTGCTAGATGGCAGCAAAGAATTAGAACTTTCTATATTACTTTGCTACCACTGCTAGTGATTATCTAGGTTTTTGGAGCAAGTGCTTGCAACAAAAATAGAAAAAAAATAGTTTTTTTGGAGCCCAGAGCTGGTAGCCCTATTAAAATGTTGCACATGTAGATTTTAGTATGTGTACATGCATGGACAGAGACATTGTTTGGAGGAAAATATATCTTTTTGACAATATTAGCCAGAAGACTCCTCCGAACTAAACATTTAGTGCCAAATTAATTGCAATTTATTCCTGGATTTTTTGAATACTTTATATGGAGTTTTGGATTTCATGTAATCACAAGGGAAGGCAGCATAGAAAGAATCTAAAACCTGGAAACAATTAGAAGCCCTTCTATTGTTCAGAGTGGCAAATGCTCTTTTTTAACAAAGGCATTTTGGATACAAAGCAGGAATGTGGAAGCATTCACCCTCCCAGCTATCCTGAGCAATATACTGCAAACATGAATTGTGGTCTTATCCAATCTTTTGGGTGGGGGGAAGAAACTGATGCATTTTGCAGTCATATGGAATTGGCAGTATACATCACAAACAATAGGAATGCAGTAGAAACAAAGGCAGTTTAAGATGCACATCAGGATAAACATTCAGTAATAGAGTGAGTTTGGATATATGGTCAGGATTCATCACTTCTATGCTAAGATATAGTGCAGCTTAGTTTATTTATTTGTTTACTTACCAAATGGGGCTTATCCAAGAAGATCCTGAGTGCTTATATTGCATGATTTATGTCATGTTAAGATAGAGTAAGAAACCATGCAATCTGTACTTTAAAAATCACATTAAACAATAATCCATTGCATGCAGCAATGAACAAGTCAGCCTTGCTTTTTCTCCAGATACTTTGGTACTTGTCCTGGATCAGTATAAACAGCCAAGAAGTGAAATTTGCACACCTACACCCATCCCACCCCATTTCAAATCACATTTCCCTGCCTCCCTTACTACTGACCAAGACAGCTAGAGTGTTGGAGGATAACATTCAGCAATATTGAAGAATCTCAGGTTCCCCACCTTAGATAAATAAAGCTTGGTGCCCTTAGAGAGGTTCAGATAGGCAACTGACTTTTTGTCTTCTGGAGGACTGGTGAGGTATAATGAAGATGATAAAAAAAAAAAGCTTAAAGTTTGTGATCTTTCACAGCAACCTTCTGCTAGTCATGCCTTTCCCCCTTCACATGAACCCCTCTACTGAATTCTAGAGATGGATAGAAATTGCTAGATTAGTCTGTAGCCAGTGTTTAAGGTGTCTGACGTAGACCAAGGAAGACCCAGATCCCAGTCACCCTCAGCCACAGAAGCTCCACGAGTGACATTCAGCCAATAGTTATATCACAGCTCAACCTGTGTTATGGCAAAAATGGAGGAGGGAATGCTCTTAGAGGAAAGATGGACTATAAATCTAATACCTAAATAAAAATAAATAAAATAAATAACTGTTCAAAAGCAAAGTAGGAAGCAGCATTTCAATTAACAAGGTATTCCATTCCCTCTTACCTGCCCATGAAAAGCAGCACATATGTAAATAAATTTTATGGAGCCTGTTAAGTCATTTACACGACCAGCTACATAAACTGAGTCACAAATCCAGCAACTCACTTTACAAATGACATACTTTTTAAAGCATTATTTTCCTAGAAGGAAAATGAAACATCTCTAAGTTTGTGTCCTGAGTGGCACATATTGACTGCTTATTAAATGTTCAAGCCTATACTAAATAGACTCAAATATTCAAGTTGCAGACGTTGGAGGGCATATGTAGTTTCCCTTTTCACACACAACCTCATCGTTCCTCACACCTCCACCCCTTAAATTGAAAAAAAGAAAATGCTACTTCATCTTGTTGTCACATCAAATATCTAGAAAGGGTATAATGTTGGTATGTCATGTATAGAAGCAATCAGTGTGACTGTATTTCTTGAATATTTAACAATATTTGGTTTTAGTGGTTAGCATAACAAAATGTGCTTTCTGCAGTTGGCTAAGACCAAACTATTACTGTATGTACAGTGTGAACAGATGTGATACAATGTTTTTATCAATGTGATCTCATCTTTATATTTGACTGTATCTTGGGATCACCTACAAGGGGGTTAAAAAAAGTCAAGATGGCCATGAGAGTAAGATCACAGCCCTTCCCCTTTTTACTTTTGCCACAGGCACCATGCATGTAAAAGGGGCTTGGGGTTTGATTGCACATTGACAGCAGACCTCTTGACTTCTTTGAAATGTTCCCCCGCCCCCAAACTCCACAGACTGTCCTGTTGTGTTGGATACTGAACCTGTATTAGTAGCAGCAAACAAAGTTGAATTTCCGCCAGATGGTCTGCATTTTTCAAATGGTTCCAGCAGGTGTCACTGTGTCGTTATGACAGTGCAACTGCTTTGTTCTGTCCTCAGATATATTTGGCCTAATAGCCTGGCAGGCCTGTTGAGGTTGTGTGATACTGCTTTGTTCTGAGTAACAGAATCCCGATTTAACTATGGAATGTCAGCTGATTTAAAATGGAAGATAATCTTTTGAAAACAAAGCTGGATCTGGAGTGGAAAAACATTTAGCACTGCTTTATAGGCCCATATCAAGTTTATAAAGGCAGTTTCTAGACAAATCACTTTTTAAAAAGATTGTAAGGCTTTGTGAGAATTTATCTTCCATCAGCACATATGTTGACATCTGCTAAAAATCTGTCAATGTTTAGCAAGCATCTCACTGAAACAGCATGTCAGACATAGTTCAGGTATTTTACATTACTCCTTAAGAAGACAGGATAACATATACAACAGCAAGGTACATATAGAATTGGATAATGATTGTGTTCAACCTAAGGAAGAGAAAGAGAAAGGGGGAGAATTAGCCATCATAATCAAGTATCCAAAAGTCTGAAATGGCAGCATTATGAAAGGATTTCAAAAGCCATAGGTTAACACTTTTACTAGGACTAACCAAATATTCCAATCCTACTATGGATTTTGGTGGCTTTAGCTGTTTAGACATTATGTTTGTATATTATATTGTGTATTATGGACATATGAAGCTACCTGCTGTGTCAAACCAGTATCATGGGGGATATTATGCTCCCTCAAGCTCAGCCCTGTTGACTCAAGATCCACCCACACATCCTCTTTGCTACAGCATGAAGACACCCCACTAACCGCTTGCAGAGGACATGTACTTACCGTGTTGCCTCTGTCTTGCCACTCAGACAGTCTGAAATTGGTTCTTGCTGTTCCAATTTGAAAGTAGCTTTTTCTAGCTTATCCTGACACATTTCCTAAATGGAAAATCTAGTACATGTCAAAGAAGCAGCTTGGGATGATATAGTCAGTACAGATGATTAGCTCAGCCCATTTGGCCTGGCAGATCTGGTATGGGACCACCATCCTCCCTGCCCAACTGATTGCTGGCCACTGGACCTCCATGGCCTTGCTTACATGGCTTATCGCTTCTTCTTTTTTTAGGAGTTTGGATATGGAAATATCAATCTCACAGAAGGTTAAATGCCATTTTCTGATTGGTCCACAAACATAACTGTAAAAAGCATTCCCTCTTAAGAAGCTGTGAAGGACTTCTTAAGTAGTAGCTCTGTGCTATGAGAGTGGCAAGTTGGGAAAGTGCATGAGACACATAACTCACCCAGATGTGGAATGGGGGGTGAAAGAGACAAGAGGGTCTTGGCTTGAATTCATAGGAAAAACTGGCTGTGGGGGGAGAAAAGAAAGAAAGAGATCCAGAGAAAAAGTAGTAATGAGAACTCTTTGGTTCAGGTTTCTTTGTTTCGTATTTCAAATCAAGTGTTCTGATCATCCAGTTTTGGGGGGGGGGCAGGGGTGGATTCACACAGCTAAATCAATCTTCTTTTTCCTATCTCCTCTTCCTAGTAGATTTCATATGAAATGAAATGATTTCATTAAATGCTGCCATCGAGAGGTCATGTGGATTGCTTATTGCCCCAGGTATTGATTACATAGATCAATAGTCTAGTCAGAAGAGGCACGCAATAAATGATAAAAGTTAAGGCTAAATAAATAATTAAAAATAAGCCTTGAATCCCCACCCCCACCCCATCAATTCTAAAATAACTCTCTAAAAAAAAGCAGTCAGAACAATTGCATTTGGCTGAAGATGAAAACACATACTGATATGTTTTACCTAAAGGAATAAACAGAGTAAAATCACCTTTGTGATGCTTGCTGCTGGAGATGAAGAAAGAGACGATGCTGGATTCATCAAAGTTTTCTTGTATTAGAAGTTCTTTCTGCATCAACAAGAAACTTCCTGAAGTAAACTCTAGTAACCTTATGAGTTGACACACCCACCTTACTCCTAAGCTGGTCAGAACTGGTCCTTATCTACAGATAAAGAGAGAATGTCTATACAGGATACAGGTGCTATGAATCTTCTAGAAAAGCAGTGTGCACATAATATAATATAACATTGCTTGGCTTTCCATAGATATACAGTATGAATATTAGTTAAACCAATATGAATACTGGAAATATATATATTCCACTCATGTTTCTGCCCAAGTGGCTTTTCTCTTCCTGCATAAGTGTTTGATGTTCATCATTCTTTTTTTTTTCTTTTTCTTTTTTTAAATAAAGGTACACCCGGTTAACTCTCTCCAGCTTGTTGGTTGTTTCAGTTGGATATTCTCCAAGAATTTCCAGTAGGACTCCCATCTCCCACATTCACAAAATAAGCAAGCAAATCTTGCCTGTGAGAAGGGGATAGAGATGAAGAAATTTAATTAATTTAAGATGGGATGAAAAACAGATGGGGTGAGGAAAGACTCCCCCCTCTCTCCTTCCTTTTAAATACTTGAAGTAAATAAAAGAACTATAGAGAACAGGGTAGGGCTGTTGCTTATTGGTTCTTCCCCATCACCATCTTTCCTCTCCACAATCAGCTCCAGTGACAAAATGGATTGAACCCATCCATGCTGTCTGGTTGGATAATACACTCTGCAAGCCTCCACAGCTTGGAGAATTTTTTTAAAGTAATGGTGGGACTTTGGTAAGCTTGAAACAGTGTGGAACAACATACCCTACTAGTCCTAGATAAGGATAAAAGGTACTGTACAGATCATGGGGTGATTTGCTGAAATAATCATTCTGAGCTAAGAATATTTTGAGTTCAAGAATGTTTTGCCTTTTTGCAGAGACATTATATTAGAGATTAATTTCCCTTTTGTGACTGATTACTACCACCTCAGATGGTTGTTTGTGGACTTAATGAATAAATGCTTTCCTCTGAACTCTCTGGAGAAATGGTAGTACAAAAGCATAATTATCAACAAGAACTACAAAAATATATTTCCTTTCTGCAAAATTAATAATTCATTTACAGGCAATTGCATGACAATAACCTCGCTCTTTGTTTTTGGAGTTAGATCTGAAAACACTTTGCTTTCTCAGAAAGCTTCTCTGGAATATTTAATTTTCAGTATTCAAATAAATATCACATGGTTTACAAAACAAACCACGGACCATTTCCCCCCCTTCTAGCTGTATATCAAGCAACAACTTATACACTAAAAGTCATGTTTAAGAAAATGCTTAGACACGGGACTTTAAAATTCACTCATCACCAATATTTACTATCAAGAAAGCTCAGGAGAAGTTTAATGAGATAAATCTGATTCTATATCCTTCAAAAAGAAAAATCTAAACAATCTCAACTATACTTTGTTTAGTTTTTAATCTACTTAATCTTTACAAGTATAGATGTAAAGAACCATTTTGAAAATAGTAGTTTTTCTATTGCTGGCATGTATGTAGGATGGGAATAATTCTGTTTGTTTTTCGATAAATTAGATTAGAGTATTGCCTGGAAAACCTCAATTTTTCAAAAGTGTCAAGATATACAATTGATGTACCCCTATGCACTGTGTTTTTGTTGTTGTTGTTTAAAGGAAATAAAGTAAGGAAAAAAAATATATACACAGAGATAAAGAGACATACACATAAGCATACACTCATCCCTTAAATTTAATTAGGGGCAATTTTGGACACCAATGATTAATGTTGTTATTAAAAAAAAAAAGATGGATATATGAGTGGGTCAAAAAGCCAGTTAGGAGGTAGTATCATGAAAAATCAAAAAGAAAGTAAGAACAAGTGTCATTATTCAACATAACCAAAAGCCAGGTGATTGGCCTTGGAAGCAAGGTATCCCTTTCCCAATATTTCATAGATGAAGCTCTTAGACATTTCACGATCTGTGTCTTACAATGTTTACAGATACAGAATATAGTATTATACATGTATTATTATATTTTGCTAGTGTTTTGCCATCTTCATTTCTTCTCAGCCCATTTTCAGAGCAATTAAAATGGTGTGTCTTTGATCCATGTGTTTCCTCAGCTTCAAGGTCCTTTGCAGTTTGAGATCACAGGATGGGCTGCCTGGAGTCTTTAGAAATGGTACAACATATAAGTTAAATCAGAAAAAAAAAAAAAGCCCCTTTGGGTCAATCTTGACTCCTGAATCCTTTTCTTGGCAACATTTTTAGAAGTGGTTTGACATTGGTTTTTCCTAGGACTCAGACAGAGTGACTTGCCCAAGATCACCCAGCTGTCTGTGCAAACTGGCTCTCATAAACAATAATACTTAAACTATCACTTCTTCCTGTATACTCCTTCCTGGGATCTTTGCTGCATGCTCTACTTAGACTAATCCCACATAAGTAGGACAAGTTGCTATGACCAAAGGTCTCTTCTATCTCCCAGGAATCTATCAATAACTGATCAAAGCTGGACAAAACTGCATGAATACACCTTTCCAGAATGAGGGGGAAAACCCAATAAACTTTATGCACCATGGCTTTGTGATGGCTTAGAAGAAAAAATTGACTATTTTGCAGTATACAAGGACTGAAATAGTCATGGGTTGGAGATGAGATAAGGCTAGGTCATGTGATCAACATTTGGGCATCCAGGGTGTCCTGCGCCAATGTAATTCGCAAATGAGGAAAGGGGAAAGGCCATAATCTGCTCTTTGCTTTCTAGTTTAGTTGCAATTTATTGTAATGCTGCATCATTATTATTCCTCCTCCACCTCCTCCTCCTCCTCCTCCTCTCTGGAATGGTGGGAAACAGAACACAGTGAAACTTCATGTTAGCAAACTTCAATATCACAGATTTGGCATGCCACTGAACAAATCCTTGGGGTGATTTGTGCCATTTGTGTGATAAGGTTGTTATGCCAATATATTAAATTATGCTATTTTTGTCCATTCTTTATTGTTGTTGTTGTTGTTGTTACTGATTAGCCATTAGACCATATCAGAATACAGAATATAAAATACAGAACATTAATAAGACCATATATTAAAAATAGAATGAAAGAAACAAGTTAAATACAAATCATATTTCTGTATCACCCCTACAGTTTACCCTGATCAGATCCACATATGCAGATCTCAAATGTACTGTTTTGTTCAGATAAAGGGCCATATTATATGTGATTTTTGAATTCTGACCACACATGAAATAGGTTGTTTTAATATGAGGGTTCCAATAGGTTGTTCGTCTAATGTGTGATCCAAGATACTGATCTCTGTCTCTCTTATACAATTGACATTCAGATAATATATGTATTATGTCTTCTATCTCTGGGGCTCCACAAACACAAGTTCGCTTATTATAAGGCACTTGGTTAAATCTTTCATATCTAACCATTGTGTCCAACTGCTCAAATCTTGCTCAGGTAAATACTGCCCTAAGATGTTTAGGCATTTCTATGTTTAAATACTTGGCAATCTGGAAGGTATGTTTGTAACGGCTCATCTGTTTCAGTGTGCCAGCCTTACTAATGGTGGCTATGTCTCTCTGGGCTTCATTATCCAAGATTCTTTGTGCAGCAACCTTTTCAGCTTGTTCTCCACAAACAGTTGGACAAGAGATAGGGAAGCCACAGCTTCTGATTCAATTTATCAATTGTACATTCCAAGAAGTCTGTAACTGAGATTTTGTCTGTTCTATCAGACACAATTTTGGGAGTCTGCCAGTTTCCATAGATTAATTTTGCACCAATAATTGTATATCCTGATTTTTGACAAAGAACAAATTCTATATATTCCCAATTTGGCTCTAGCTGCAGCAGCTGAAGTCCTTTTATCCATGCCCAAGATACTTCTCAGATGCTGTGATTGTGTTTGTTCTAATAGCGATACATGTTTTAGGTTCCAAGCTTTAGCTCCATATAAGAGCATAGGAGTAATCTTAGCCTTCTGTACTTCAATAACTGGGGCTAAGGAACCTGGATTGCTGTGATTTATTAATTTTAGCAGTAAATTCACACGTGCCTTACTCTAAGTGAGCTCCTTTGATGATGAGGAAGCCAAGATCCAGTCTCAGAGAAGACTACCCCTAGATAAGGAAAAATGTTAGCTTACTGTATTGGCTCACCATCTAATAGCCATCTATGGCTGTGTTGTCATTTTCCAAACACCATAATTTTTTACTTTGATTTATTAAGAATCAGGGAATTAGAGAATCAGAGAATTGCAGAATGTTGAGAATCACTCTCAAAATTCTGCAAGTCCCTCAAGACCTGGCTCTGTGATCAGGCCTAGGGATCTCAGGGGAGTGGGGAGATTTCAAAGTGGCTCCCGTATTAATATTATCCCCTCCTGTTTTGTGTGTTTTTACAGTTATTTTTATTTGTGATTGTTTTTTGTGTATTTATTATTTTTAATTGTTGTACACCACCCAGAGTCCCTTTTATGTGAGATGGGCAGCTATAAATTTCAATAAATAAATAATAAATACATAAGACAATAGGAGCCAAGTCTTCCTAACAACCTACGTAACCCAACTTGCGAGTATGATAGTGAAATCATATCGTCAGTATATAGCAAGGTGTCATAATGTGTGTTTCGTGCCTGAGGCATATGTACTTCAGAATCCTTCATCAGTCCTGGTAAGTTGTTAATATATAGACTGAATAACAATGGTGCAAGTATGCACCCTTGTCTTACCCCTTTGTAAGTATTGATCCTACTTGTCATGGCTCCATTTACCCCAAACCACACTCTCAAACAAGTGCCTGTAGAAAGGGCTTGGTCAGTGTCAGAAGTCTGTGTTCCATCTTGAGGGCACTCCATTTCCTCCATAATATTTCTTTGTTTACTGTGTCAAATGCTGCACTAAGGTCTATAAAGGCAGCAAACATTTGTTTTCCCTTACTGACATATTTTGTAATTAGATGGTTCAAGACAAAATAATTGTCAA